CATCAATAATCACAGACTGGTGGTCAGACAAGCCAGGGTTTTGTCTAGTTCTGGGTGGTCATCAAAAAGAGACCACCTTTATCTTTTATGTCACATCTGTGCTCAGCAAGGTCATAAAGCTCTGATCCCACAGCCCACAAAGATCAGCACAATAATAACAATAGAACCAAAGTCCACACCTCTATGAGCTGTTTGCTGCTTGGATGGACCAGAGGGTCCAAGGCCATTGAGATGGGTCATCTGTGACGGTGGCTGGAAGAGATGTGGATGAGAATTCTGGGGTCACTTGTCTTCCCCTGGCATTAGAATTGCTCCAGAGGCTCCACAGGGACTGGACCTGAGATTAACTTTCCTAGTTCCAGCTCTAAATCCCAGCATATAGTCAGTCTATGACTTCTAACCTGTCCTTCTTCCTGAAACAGGTCTCTCACCACACCATGCTGTCTGCAGTTGAGCTAGTCCTGGTAAAGGCAGACCCTGGACCACCTGGGCTGATGTTAAACTTGGCCGTGCCTATATTTCTCAGCTGCAAAGATCTGCACTATCTCAGGAGTGCACCAAGTCTTGCGGCGCAGTCAGCAATGATGCAGACTCAAACGTGAGTCTGTCCCACTGAGGCACAGGTGTGAGCACTGGCCTGATGACACTGCTAGGGTTCAGGGGATGGATAGTAAAGAGAACCGATGGGCCACCAAGGCCAACAATAAACTGGGTGACAGCTGAGTCTCTCTGCCTTCGGAGTCCTGGGAAGAGGGCAAATGTTCTCCAAGCCCCTTCCAGCACCTGGGTTAGTCCCACACACATACATGTCTCTCCTGATGCCAGAGATGGTCAAGAAGCTCTGTCTGCAAATGGGCCCTTTAGTTACTATTGTGTGCTTGGTCTCGCTATAGAGAGTATGACCCTGAACTCTGAGACAAAACCCTGTGGTAGCTTATGTACCCAGTTCCCCAGTAGGTAAAGTCTTGCATCCTGAGGCTGAAGGAAGGGGAGGCAGCTATCTCTTTGCACATGGCCAAATGCACTTGCAGTGGCTCAGTCTATAGGTTAGCTGTAGGATAAGGCTTTGGTCAATACTACTTTTTACTTACTGGGTACTGAGTACTGGGTACTGGGTTTCAAGTCTAGGACCTGGGCTGAATTCTCACATTCATAAGTGGGATCAATTAATCTATCTATCTATCTATCTATCTATCTATCTATCTATCTTCCTCCCTCTCACTCCTTCCCTCCCTCTCCCTCCCCTCCTCTTTCCCACTCTCTCTCTCTTCTCTCTCTCTCTCTCTGGACAAGGTAGCTTGAAGTTGAGATAAAGGTATAACATTTTGCTATTTACTCTCTTCAGCGCATTTTTTATTTTGTTTATACTAAAGGCAGGCACCATGGAATCACCCGATTTCCTGAGTTCTGGGGTTGGTATTCTGGTGCATAAGCAACTGTAGAACTTCCTTGACAAGCATAGGTAGCTGGCAATGTTTCTTAAACCTGGCTTTATTAATGCCCCACAATTATTTCTCCCAGCTCCTTTAAATGTATTTTTACTGAATAGTCTTACCCCACATGAAATTTTAATACAGTGGATATTCTGCAGACAGCCCTCAAGATCTGTGGGTTCCATATGTCTAATATGACAAGAAATTAGAAATATTTGAGAAAAATGCATTTGCATTAGACATGTATAGGCTCTTCTTGTCATTACACCCTAAACAAGACAATATAAGAATCATTCCATTTATAATGTATTAGGTATTATAAGTAATAGGATGATTTAAAATATATATGAGGATGTATGTAGTTTCATTGTAAATGCTGTGCCCCTTTGTGGGAGGGACTTGAGTGTCTGCATAATTTGGTATTATTGAGGGGTCCTTCAACCAATTTTCTACACATACTAAGGGACCACTGTATCTGTAGTTATGACCAGTGTGTAGATCTAATACACACACACACACACACACACACACACACACACACACACACATAAAGTTTTTGTTACTCTTCTCCTGCCTTCAACCTATTTAGATCACTGGGGGGACAATACTAGCCATAATGAGGTTATATAATTGAGAGACTAAGAAACAGATTTTTGAGAATTATTCATTGTGGGGTTCATTGTGATTTTCAATCTGACTAATTGAGAAGCAGGTAGGAGGTTAGTGTGTATCTGGTCTATAAAGCTATTGCCAGAGAGGAGTGAGACAGGGCAAAGGAGAAATCAGGCATTCCCTTTCTTCTTCCTGACCTCTGTCGGGGGAGGCACTCTGCTCCACCAGGAGCCAAAAATAAGTCCTCTTCCAAAGGATTTCGTTTGCCAGTTACTTTCCCACCTTGATGAGAAGTCTAACTTACAAATTTGGCAGCAGTGAGGTGGGGCCATTGCTATAACTACCTGGCTGTACAGATGAGAATACCGGGGAACTGGTTTGTGGGAGGAGTCTATAAAAGCTTGGAAATATGTGCTAGAGAGAGCTAAGAAGACTCCAGGAGGAGCCTAAAGCATGATTCTATTGAAAGCTCAGAAGACCAGAATGCTGGGGGCAATGTCAGCAATAAAGACTGTAGTTGTGGAGTTCCAGATAGAGCCAAGGGTACAACTGAGAATTAAACCACAGGCCATTTGTGTTCTGTTGTGTCAAAGAGTTTGTCCACATCGTGTCTATGCTCTGAGACTTTGAAGCTGAGTTTAAAGAAGATGGATCAATTAATATTATGAAACCATCCAAGGCCACCTGGTACTTAGGCTGCAGCACAGTGGTTGCTAGACACCTTAAGACATTTTACAAGGAAAACTAAGAATAAAGAGTAGAACAGAAAAGTTATTCTGTTTTCACTTTTCCATAAAAAGAAGTGTATGTACAGCTGGGGCTGGGGGAAGCATGGCTGCTGAAGAGGCCAGGGACATTAAAAGGAAACAAAATATTTTTCATTGGGACAATAGCAAAGATGTCCTCATGGAATCTTGGATCCATCTCATTGTAGGCCTAAGGGTGTAAAGATTTTTAACTCATTTGGAAGACCTTGATTTGATAAGAGAGCTCTGAGGTACACTGACAGACCAAGGATGTCATAGGTAATTTCTTTTTTAGTTTAGCCATACCCAGAAGCCACTATAGACACGGGTCTAAAGGAAACCCAGCTACTGTTCAAGCTGGTTGCATATCTTGATGTTATCTGTGCATTACTTGGTTTGTCAGGCATGCAGAATGCAATAATTATAGGGTTATTATAAAAGCATTTACCCAAGTTTTGAAGAGAGCATAGGAGACCAGACAATGTTTAGCAGGGTCAGAATCGCCATAGGTAGCTCCTGAGAAGGAGATACATGAAACTTGAGGAAGAAATCTAAACTGCAGTGACCCTAGGGTATCATTGATATCAGGAATGTGGAACATCTGATGAGGAAGGCTAGTATGCCTGCAGTTAGCAGAGCCCATTTAAGTGAGAGACCATATAGCTACAATTGGCAAAATCCATAGGCAGTTTTTCCCAAGTTATTTGGAGCTCATCACCATATATCCAGGTTGCCAGGCATGATCACACAGGGTTTAGCATTTGGCCTGCTGGCTTTCAGTCTTACTCTGGCCTGTTGCCTCTTCTTTTCCTATTTTTTCTCTTTTGAAATGGGAATGCCATTGTATGATTTAATTATCTAACTTCCCTTTGGATTTTACAAGGACTCACGGGTAAGAATTTAACATGAGTCTTAGAGAAGACTTTAAACTTGGACTTTTGAACAGTTTTGGAGCTGTTGAGACTATGGAGACTCTTGGAGATGAACACAACACACTTTGCACTAGGAAATGGACATGAGCCTTTAGAGGACCAAGAGTAGAATGTTATGTTGAAGGGGATAGGTTTGGGTGTCAGGTCTGAGAGAGATGGGCTCAACCTAGAAAATCTTGTCAATGGGGTTAAATTAAGAAGCACACAAAAGATTAGTAAGGTGAATTTCTGGGTGTTTCCATGGAGGATCAACTCAGGAAAGAAAGAAGAAATCCATCATAGGCTTCCTTTCTTTTTGCTTCCTGGGTACCATGAGGTGATCTGTTATGCTCTACCATACCTCTCCACTAAAATGGGTTGGAATCTTTGAACTGTGAGCCAAAATAAATCCTATCTTCCTTAACAGTTATAACAGTTACTATGTCATAGCAACAGGACTCTAGTTACAGCGATGGAAGTATTAAGGGGTACCATTTGAGAGGAGACAATGCTAATACTTTGAAGCAAGAAAAATGAGACTGTGAGTCTTTAACAAGGTAGATACAAAATTGTGCAGTGTAGCTACTGATCCACTGGGTCATGCTGTTAATGGTGTGTAGAGATAACTAAAGTTAAGGAATAAAGTTAAGTGAACAGAACATTAGTTAGTTCGGAGAAGTGGAATGTTTCATTTACTATATGGGAAAAATGCTTCCCAGGTAAATAATTCACAATTCTTATGCAGTCATTATTTCTCTTTTCCATTATCAACAAATTCATATTTTGAATTATTTTCTTTATATATTTTTGTACCTTTTGGCGGGGTCCAATCACTGTATTATTTCTCCCTAATTTAATAAGAGGTTTGTCTTGAGTTTGAACTTTGAGGAAGGCATTCACTCATCTATAATGTACACTGGTCTTTATTGTTAAGTGTTCACACTTTTACTTTACAACTGGAAAAAGAATAGATATTTTATAAGGCATTTTGAATAAATACAAACATGAAGCTTTTTAATTGAGTGAGGAGTGGCAGAGTTCAACCCTGGAAATTCTCACTATTTTCTTGCAAATCCTTAAGTGTCCCCTCCACCCAGCCACTAGCTCCTCTGATACTCCTGCATTCACTTGTCCCGCCCTTTGGGCAAGTCACTTAATTCATCCATCCTTTAGCTGTACCTACATTTTCAGAATTGAGAAAGCTGCTGTACCGATGGCTGCAGGAAGGATAAATGTGCAAAGCTGGTTTGGAAAAGCAAACAGTACTGCACAAATGAAGTAAATGGTGGCCTCGGGCCATCAATGAGCACTTATTAGTCACCTTTGTTCCCTTTCTGCACTTTAACACACAGAGCCCCAAAAGGAATGAGACACTCATTTTGCCCTCATGAGATCACTTGCAGCTTTCCTGCCAACATGCCTTCCTGGTGGTTTTCACTGCATGTGGATTCCTGTCTCCCAAAAGAGAAGTGATGGCCTGTCTAGATAGGAGCCTGGGAAGCAGGGTTCAGGCCTCCTGGGACCTGTGCTTAGTGGGGAAAGGTGTTGTGGCTTAGAACCGTATGTTTCTGTGTTGTTTTTGAATCACCATCACCTCCTTATGAGGTGACATCTGATCACCCAGCTGCCTCATGATCTCAGTGTGGTCACAGTGGGACTCTGCACATCTGGGCACTGACACCATTTGATCAGCACTGGAGTGCCGCGCCTTCGACAGCAGGTTCTTGGGGGCTCCATGATTTCCCCTGCTTGCAAGTTCCAAGATTCCTGATTTAAATTACAAGCTGACTGTCAGAAAGAAGAATTGATGGAGAGGCGCTGGAGACAGTGAGTCAGGCTCTGGACTCAGCAGAGTCAGTCCTAATGTCTTTGTCATCAGTTACCAGCTACATCATAAACCTCCTTTGAAATGACCGGTACTCATTTTTCCCTTGGCTTTGTCTCCCATAAAATCTCACCGATATCCAGTGGGGAGCAAGGCTGGCCCTTTCCTATGATCCCCAAGTTTCTCTACTCTCCTTCCATCACTGCTTTCTTCTCTCACAAGCCCCAGTGCAGCACCTTTTAGGACTCTCACTTAGCAACACACAGAAACTAAAAGCAAGTGTTTAAACTGAACCTGCTGCCAGGGCATGTGGGCCTGAGAGTGCTGGAGGCTTCCCCATCTGTTTAGCATGGTCCACTGAGCAGATCCCATTACCAATAGCCAGCTCGACTGCAGAAGGGAGAAAATCTGGTCACTGCCCACTGGGGTCCTGAAGTCACAGGCTTGCCAATACCTCCGGGAACCTGAGAAAGCAAAGCCAGAGCCAGGGAAGGGTCTGGCTGAGAGTGTGGCTTAATAAAGAGCCACATAGGCCACCTTAGCCTTGGGGTAAAAGAAGTATGCTGGAGGAAGCTCCCCTGGCAGGCTCCCCCTGAAGCCTGCCAGTCTTAAAAAAAAAATTGCTTTCCTCTCCAGGCAATTAAAAAGCCACATCCTCATCACATTTGTGTGTACTGCCCTCATAAAACTGCAAGTAATGCACTTCTGCAAATAGATGTGGCTGGTCCCCCAATCTCGTGTCCATCTGGGCTGAAGCTTTCAAGTCTTTTGCTAATGAAGATGTGACATGGGCCAGCTGGTTAGAAGTGGAGCCTGGAGGCAATGGAGGCTCAGGTTGCTGATGGCCTGAGAGAAATGGCTTTACTCTAATGGTGAGTACTTCACTCTGTGCAGCCAGTTTGCTCCACTCAAGGAGCCCTTCAAAGTTCAACAGCTCTTAACTGGTCAAGAAAAAACGGTGTGAAGCTGGCCGTGGCATTGTGACATGTTCTTGATTTGATTTCATGTTCTTGAAAGAATTCAACAAGTTATGTAAAATCTGAGAAAAATATGCTGACCTTGCCGTTTCACCAGGCCCATAGACATCAGACAAGAAGGGCAAGTGGCCCAAGAGGCCCCACATTTCATCTTTTGGAGATCCCCTTTGTATCTGGCACTGTTCTGAAAAGCACAGCCTTTCCAGTCATCATAACCACATGTTTATAATATAAATAAATATGGTATCATCTTCACCATACTTGAGATGGTTCTTTACCTAGAACACTCTGGTAACTTTTTAAAGAGCCAGCCACTTCCTGGTACGGTTGTGCATGCCTATGGCAGATTCAGAAATGGTGGTGGTGCCTTAGCCTAGTCCTGTTTACAGTACAGTTGTTCCCTCCCTACTCTTGACAAAGAGGAACCTGTCCCCATTCACTTGCCTCTACTCTGGAACTTCCATCTCTCTTCCCATGGAGAATCAGGATGTTCACACATGGTTTGTCCAGTTCCTAAACCTATCTTTAATCACAGAGAAAGGCAAGAGAAGATTAACTGGCTGGTTTCAAAACGTTTTATATCCTCTAGCTACAAAAAATAATGATGTACCAAATAATTGTTGCCAAATGTAACCTGATTCCTCAGCCCTCCTGTCTTGGCTGCTTCCTGAGCCAGCCACTCTATCCTGAGCAACCTGCTTATGATGAGAGCTTTTTCTAACATCCTCAGAATTGGTTCACCAACCCTGTGGGACTTCTCTGTGAACACCACCATACTGGAGCCTTGAGGGAGGAGGTGAGCTCTTGAGCAATTTCCCATCATTCCGAAGCACCACTAAATGTTAACAAGACCCATACAAAAAGGTGAACACCACCATACTGGAGCCTTGAGGGAGGAGGTGAGCTCTTGAGCAGTTTCCCATCATTCCGAAGCACCAGTAAATGTTAACAAGACCCATACAAAAAAATTTCCATGGCCCAAAGGGTTTAGGAACTATCAAATTCCAAATGTTCCTTTTGGAAGTATTCACTGAAAATTATCATAGTAAAAACTTTATGAAATCCCATAATAAAGCTTTTAACCCAGAACTTTCCAAAGGCATTTGACCCTAGAATGCCTTCCACCTAGACAACCTCAGCAAACACTTTAGAGGGATGGGCCACCCCTGGTTAAGCTGTTAATAACTGAACATGGACTTAAACTTATTATTAAATGAGGCTCAGTTATGGATTATTCAGGGGCATCCTGGTCTAGAACTCAGTGGAGCATAGTTAGTTCTGATTAAGTCCCGGTAAGCCAAGCCCTGTACTAATGCACTCATGCCTCCTTCATGTCAATCAATCCTCACCTCAGCTTCATGAGCAGGACCCTGTATACATCCAATTTTGTAACCATGATTTTCTGCCTTGCCACAGTCCCAATGTGAGTAAATCACCTACGAAGGTCATGTGATCTTGGTGAGTAAATATGAGTGTGAGAGTCCAGGTTGGCCTGACACCAGTCTGTGTCCTTAATCAGAGAGCCCTCTGCCTCCTGGTTGATGTCAGTCTTCAGTGAGTGTGAACAAGGGCTGATGTGGATCAGGAGTGCAGAAGTTGCTAACAGGGGACTCTGGAATTGAGAATGTGGACGCTTTGCTACATTGACTCTATCCAGGACAGTTGCTACTGCAGCCACCGGAGTGGTGGGACTGACACAGTATCTCCTGTGAAGGATCCTAAGTTGGGAAGTCAGAGCTGCCAGTCTCGGGGCCAGTCATGGGCTTATTTTGTCTTTCCCATTCTGAGAAACTCTGGGTTAAGCCTCAAAATGAAGATGTATAACTGCTGAAGGCATGACCACATGTCATGGAACTGAGATAGCATCTAGGTCAGTGTGGTCCCCAGATCAGCATCATCAGTATCAACTGGATACTTGACATCATTCCAGACCTACTGAGTCAGAATCCCTGGCAGTGGAGCCCAGCAAATTATCTGAGGAGCTAGCCATTCAGATAATTCTTAGTTACTCTAAAATGTGAGATGCCCCGCTCTAATTAGTCCAAATATCTCATTTGATAGATGATAAAACTGTGTCCCAGAGATCACGTGACTTATCCATCGCTCTGGGGTGCGCAATCGGTAGAACTACACAGGCGCATTAGAGCTTTCACTTATCCATACCCCTGGTTTTTCTTTTGGTAACAGCACCCAGATTTTCCTTGTTACTGCTTCTTTCTCATTTTGTTTATGTGCTTTGCATGGGACTAACTCAATGTTCCAAGATTTAAGGGTAGCTTCATGATTCAGTCTGGCCAAATAGCCTAATTTATCACAACTCTAATGCCAGCCTGGCCATGGATATATAACTAAGCCAGGGCAATGAAACTGGCTTATGGAAATTTTTGGAATCCTAAGAAAGAAGAGTGCTCTTTTATGAGGCTGATAGCTATCAGGATGCTTTGCATAGCATGGAGCCCACCCACAAAGAAATCCTGTCCAGTCAGAGCGGTGCTTCTCGCCTTGTTTGCCCTCCTGTGAGATTGAGGATTTTGATTTGTACCGTCAGCTCAATCGTCCTGCGTTCAGACACACGGTTTATACACCCAAGGGGACTGTCAACTCGTCTTGTCATGGCATGCTTCCTGATCATGCATTTCCTTGTTCAGACTTGCGATTTATATGGAATTTACTAAACATGGCAATGGTCACTGAACACTAAAAGCCAAAATGTGGACTGGCACCAGAGTCATTAAGTCTTTCTTAAAGGATGCTGTGGTTCCAATCTTGTATCTAAAAGCTTAAGGTACTGGGAGAGGTAGAGATATTTGACGGAAGGCCCTGGCTGGGGGATTAAGTCATCTGGAGCCTGAATACCCTTGAAGGACTCATTGAGACCCTGGGCTCTTCCTCTCTCTCTCTCTCATTTCCTGGCATCATAAAATAAATGGTTGTGTTCTGCCACATGCTCCCTACCATATTTTACTGCCAGTCCCAAAGCGATGGCCCAACCTCTAACGCTGTGGACCAATAAAATTCTCCTCCTTATAAGCCTATTATCTCTGGCATTTTGCCATAGCAACAGAAAACTAAAGCAAGTGGTGGTGATCCTTAACTAATAAGGCCAGAGCATTAGTGCCACTCTGGCCCCTCCCACTAAAGAGAAGCATGGATGTCAGACATTCTAGGATGCTCTCCAACCCCTCCAGAGAGGAAGCAATAGCTCAAGGCTTTCATGATAGTCCTGCAGTGCTCACATTGCATAACTTATCAAAATACTTCCAAGTGTCAAAATATTATCACTTTGAAATTAAAATCTTCAGTTCCATTCCTCCCTGATCAGTTCATAGTCAGGGGGAAAAAGCAGTCCACTGAGAAAGCAACCTCCAACCCTTGGCATCCAAGTGGAAGAGCACATTTGGTGAACAGGGTTTTCCAGGTACTGTGATGAACTTCAGTAAGCCTCATCTCCTAATCCTGGCCCTGTGAGGTGCTGGCTATGTTAACTAGCATTCTGTACATGCCTGCTGCAAACCAGGTACTGTTTCCAGTACTCACAGATATATTTAAGCACGTTATGCCCTTCCTTGTTATGACAAGGGTTCCATAATTATGAACCATCAAGCAGACACTTCTAATCCTAACTGTCGAGCATAGAGACTGTTCACTTAGGCGGTGCTGCCACAGCAGACAAAACCCACAAGATAAAGATATGACCCTCCTGCCTCCTTTTAGTAGTCAGTAAACTAAACGTGTTCAAGGTTGGAACCTTCACCTGTGAAAGCGGGAACTGAAATCAGTGACATCTAAGGTTCTTTTGCTTTTGACTCTATTCCCAAAACACTGTAGCTGTTTTCACTACCCACAAAGTAATGAGACCTCCTGAACTTTCTACACAGCAGGGTTTCAGAAATGGAAGCCGGCTGGGGATATGAAATTAGGAAACCTGATAGTTGATTGTGTGAGCCACATGCAGTAGGAATTTGGGGTTTGTGCTTATTTAGAACAGACCACGGAAGCCAAGGGTTGAGAGACAAAAGGGCCATGCACTGGGTTCCCAGAAACTTCCCTAGTTGTTTACACGCCCCCCACACATACTTCTTTCAAGAGGGTAGGAGGAGGGGGCATCTGCTGCTGTTGGAGAGCCTGCTTTAGGTGTGGCCTGGAGTTGAGGGAGGGATTCTGCTCCTCCTTAGTTGTAGAGGTTATACAGCCCTCCAGAGAAGAAGCCCAGGGAAGGCCGACAGTGAGTGTATACGTAGTAAAATACTCATGCTTCAGCCCTGGATTCAATCAGCTCTCCAAAGGCCATCTTAGCTTGTAGTGAGGTTCTGTATTTTATCCAGTAAAAACCTTTCTGTGCGAACCAAACAGTACACAAGAATGGGGAGGTGCTGTAGGAGAGATGGCTCAGTGTTTTAAGAGTACTTAGTGCTCTTCCAGAGGACCTAGGTTTAGTTTCCGTATCCAGTGATTCACTACTGTCTATTCTAATTCTAGCTCCCTCTGGCTTCTGCATGGGGTGCATATAAACTCACTCAGGTACACACAGAAATAAAAAATGAATAAAGACTGGGAAGTGCACAAGTCACCTCCCTGATGAGCCATCTCTCCAACCCTAATACTATTCTAAATAGGATAAGAAAAGCAGTTTCTTTTTCTGTTTTTTTTAAAGATTTATTTATTTATTTATTTATTTATTTATTTATTACATATACAGTGTTCTACCTACAGGCCAGAAGATGGCACCAATCTCATTATATATGGCTGTGAGCCAACATGTGGTTGCTGGGAATTAAATTCGGGACCTCTGGAAGAGCAGCTAGTGCTCTTAACCTCTGAGCCATCTCTCAAGCCCCACAAAAAGTAGCTTCTTAAGATTTACTCCTTAACTGACCAAATATATAATGATATGT